TGGTCATCAAATTACAGAAGTACATTTGTTAGGGCCAAAGAGAAGAAGTTTTTTCATGAATTAAGCTTCTAGTTATTATTGTTGAGGTATTTGAAGATGCACATAACAGATAGATCCTGGAAGATGTATAACCGGGAGAGCATATTTCCCTGATAGGATTATGAGGACTTTATTGTCTGATTCAAAATTGTGAAATAGCAAAAAACTCTAATGCCATGTTGGTATGATAGGAACTTTGATTTGTACTAATTGCAGAATTTGGGAACTATTTTAATCAATATTTGATGGAGTGTTTTGCCCCTTATTTGGTCTTCAACTTTGCGCTTAATTTTTCTTACAGCATCTTTGGCTAGGCTTACCCAAAAAAATAATGTTACTGTAAAGTAACCTTTTGTCCTAACATGTCTAGATAGCTTACTTCTAATAAAAAGTTATTTTTTCTCAAAATAACTGTTACCTCAGTGTCAAAACAAATAATTCATTACCTCCTTTGATCAATAAAAGAATCATTTCTTTTTGAATGAACTTATTTACCTGTTAGAAAACTTTTTAAGCGTAGCCAAACTTGTATTCTGATATAAATTTGATGCTTTTGTAATGAATCTTTTGATACGTGCAGTGATCAGTCATGATTAAGAGTGGAAATTTAACCCACAAATCTCATTATGAGATCCTCGATGTGAAGGAAGATGCTAGCTTTGAAGAAATTCGTACATGCTACCGAACTGCCATTCTGAGTTATCATCCAGATAAAATGCAAACGACGTCCCAAACATCAAATCCTGCAAACGAGTTTGGCAGTAGGTTTTTAGAGGTACAGAGGGCTTGGAAAATCCTCGGAGATTCAAAATCTCGTGCACTTTATGATAATGAGCTGCGATCTTTGAGGCAGGATTCTGCAACTGCTGAAGATATCAGATTAGAGGATCTGTCAATCGAAGAGGCTGGTGATTTTTTTGAGTTTTCGTACGGCTGCAGATGTGGCGATTACTTCCTAATCGATTCTTTAGAGTTGTCAGATATGGGATATCCATTGTTGAAAAATGAGAGTAAAATTGTTTTGCAAACGCCAAGATCTCTACCAGCATCCATTGTTCTTCCTTGTGGGTCATGCTCGCTTAAAGTCCGGTTATTGATTAACGCTGATAGGAAGCTGCAAACTGAGCTGAGTAATTGATGCTCATTTTTCCATTAATCTACAATTTTGGTCTGAGCAAGCGATATAGGGTCATCTATAATTCCGTGGAATGTAACAGAGAATTGGAAAAATGACAGGTGATTTTGATTAAAATTTGTAATATGTACTCATTCAATTGTTGTGGCCTATGGTGCCATTATTGGAATAGGCTATTTTCTTAAAAAGATTTGAACTCAGAAGATGGCTATTGCATAGTTTTCTTCAGGCCGTTTTATCATTATGCAATATTAAGCTCCTGTTTGTCTACCATTTTTCAAAAAATTGTTTTCTACAGTAATCAATCTCTACCATACATTCAAATAATAAAATATTCTACACATAAACCGAAAAAGTTTCTTTCAATTTCAACCA